TGTATTAAAGGAGAGCTGAAGATGGGGCTCTGTTCATTCCTACAGAAGCTACTCAGTGTCACATGAAGCCAGAAAAGTTTGATATCCTGGTATAAAATTACCCGGATCTTCTGCATATACTTCAACATCGTGTGGGGCACACAGAGTTCGAGTTATAATCTGAGTTTAGTGGGGGGTCAATAAAATAAGCAATGTTAGGAGTGGAGATAAATAAATAATAGCCTATGGGTGGGCTTTCTGTGTGTTACAAAACCTGAACCTCCCCTGCCATATTGCAACAAAGTTTCAGTAGCCTGAAATATGTCAAACTGAGACCCATCATTAAAAGGAAAAATGCACTTCTGCCCTTTTTAGTATCATATGAAGGAATGTTATTTTAGACACTGCTGGCTGCTGGTACACTGTTATTCTACCCTATGTAGCACTCCACTAGTACGAGAAAGGATTGTTTTTTGGGAGTTGTAAATCCAATAGAAATAAAGCAGTCAATACATAGATAAATAATACTCATTATATTGAAAATGCATTACTTGTGATTAAAATAATGGTTGCTAGTAATATATTAGCAACCCCCTCAGATGTATTACGGGGGCTCAGCTACCACAATCCAAACCTTAGCCCCAAAGGCTGAGCTCACTATAGTATGGAAGTCTATTTCCATACTATAGTGAAGAGAAAAAAAAAGGATTATGTAGGAGAAGCTTTCTGAAAATAATGATTTAATATCATAAAGTCATTATTTTCAGATACTAAATAAATAAATATTTTGAGAATGTTTCTCACTATAATGACTTACAGAACTTTCCCCCATCACATTAGCGAAAATGGGCTTCCATACTAGAGACTTCCATCAGCCTAGCTGCAAACTTCCACTTTAACCCTGCACTAACTTCAGTGGAGTTAAAATGATTTAATGGTGCAGCTCTTCTACACTTTTCAAAGCTTAAAGCTTGGCACTCTTCCTGGGGGCTCTTTTCTGTGGATTCCGCCATTGTTGAACTTCCAGTTGACCAGAATGGACAAACACTGGCTCTAGATAGGGCAAGTGGAGGGAAAATGTGTTTTGCATGAAACATTTTATTTTCTTGATGTGTTTATATATAGATTATATTCAAAACAACCATATAACTTTATTTAGTCAGGATCTGTTTGCCAAGGAGAACTCGGTGTTATGATCAGAGGGTAACAGGCCCTGTGCAAAGGTCATTTGGCTGTTATCTCCAGAACTGTATCTTATTTGGGTGGATCCTCCTTTCTGCAGAAGCCTATTATAACAAAGAAAAAAGATATTATAAGCAGGGGCACAAGCTATATTCTCAAAAACATCTTTACCCTTCTCTTCACTCAAGGATGTAAGAAAGCTGCAGGAAGGCACGTGTTCTCAACCAGAAAGTTTCCTTGTGTAATGGCGCCATTAAGTGGGTAAAAGTGTAAAGGAATATGATCATGTGACGAGTTTATATCCAATCGAGGATGCCCCATCCCCCCGGGTGAACTGTGTTGTGAAAGGAAACTCTGGGGTTTAAAAGTGTATGCCAGGAGAAATGTTGTCATCTTGATTCATCCATTCAAAGCCTTCGTATTTCAGATTTGTATGTACTTCTCTGTGGTATCAAAACTATGTATGAAGTAACAGAGTTTAGTTGTTTTGTGAGTCAGTGTTTGACTGGTCCTTTAACATAGCACATTTATGCTCTTGTTCAGCAGTAACATATGGGTATAATGTTCATGTGTCCACACATATGTCCATACTTTGTATGTTTGTATGTGTCTGTATGTGGGGTGGAACTAGCTAACCTTAAATAATGGAAAAAAAAACAAAAAACAGCCTGAGAGTGTATTGACCTGATACACTTACTCTTAAATATAACTTATTTTTAACATTTAGGTCTAATGGTTTTATAACAAGACTAGGTATTAGATACAGTGATGCTTTGAGCTAAATGCTAAAGCCAGCATGCTAACATGCTCACCATGACAATTAACATGCTGATGTTTGGCAGGTATGATTTACCATGTTCACCATCTTTGTTTAACATGCTGCTATTTGATAATTTGCTCTAAACGCAGCTGAGGCTGATGGGAATGTCATTAGTTTTGTAGATATTTGCTCATAAACTAAAGTATTGGGCACAATAAAAAAGTTACATGAAAAGTGAGAAGATCACCAAAGTTATTACAACTCATCCTGAGGGGGACATGAATGTCTGAAAATTTCTTAAAGGACCATTTAAGATTCGGTGGCATCTACTGATGAAGTTGCAGATTGCAACCAACTAAATACAGCCCAAAAATGTGAAAGCCCCTATCTAAAGCCAGTGTTTGGTCTGTTCTGGCTACTGTAGAACACATGGCATGTTAAAGCATGATCTGTAGAAGATTACCTGCTCCTGTGGTAGATAAAAACAGCTCATTCTAAGGTAATAAAAACACAACATTTCTTATTTTCAGGTGATTATACATTATTGATCGTTGCACACTGCACCTTTAAGGGTAATCCATTCAGACCGACATCTCACTCAAAATTACAAACGTGAACCTCATGGTGGAAGAAATAGCATGGGATCACTGTGCAGTCTTTTCCCCTCTGGGCAATCCATCCAATAGTTGTTGAGATATTTCAGTCTGGACTAATGGATCAACAAACCAACACTGTCATCCCTAAAGCCGTGCTGCTAATAGGGCTAAAAAGCAGGCTTCATTTCATAAAGACATAACCACTAGATAAGAATAATTAATATCTTTATCATTTCAAATTCAAATGTCATTTCATTCTACTTTCTTTACCTTGTAAATGTACTGTAATTGCAAATGATCAATACAATATTGTCTTTTTATCATATAATTTCTCAGTTTTACCCTTGTACACACCACAACTACTAATATATCAGCTTGAGCTGGTAATACTTCATTGATTAAAGTTGGTTAATTAGCAAGAATTCCTGTTGTAATTTGTCATAGATTTATTTTGTGCACACAATAGCAGGTTAGGAGTCCATACTTCATCACCACCCTAGAAAACGTTGTCCATTAGGCACTGGATGACTTTGTGCTCCCCTGTCCACATTCACATTATATGTGGAACAACAGTGGACTGCTGGGAGGAGAGTGGAAAGTCTAAAGGAATTTCTCCAAGGGAGAACAGCTGTTGTCACCAGGTGGGTGAACTGTAGTTCTGGGGCTGTTCCCTCAGCGTGTGTCAATGGAAAACGTTTGGTCAAAGCTGTGGACTGAAAGTGTACTTTCACTGCAATTGTTACTTTTAAGACAGAGCAGAAAATCACACTTATAAGAAAGAAACATGACTGAAAACTGTTCACACTTACAACTTTACACTCTTTATTGTCTCTTCTGAAAACTGGTCAAACATTAAAGGCTGCACTCGTAAGCAGTCTCTCAAACAGAATGTGCTACCATCATAATATAACTGCAAAACAGGCGAAACATGCTGTGAACAAAAATGTTTTTTTAAGTGATCCTAAAAATCCTTAAAGGGATAGCTTGGGTATTTTGAAGTAGGGTTGTATGAGTTACTTATCCATAGTCAGTGTATCACCTAGGCTACAGTAGACAGCAGTCAGCACACGCTGAATACAGGGCCAACATGGAAACATCCCTATGAATATAACATTCCACTTCTGTCAATAGATCCTCCTAAACGTTAAACACCGGACCTTTAAACTGATAGATTTCTTTTGAGTTGAGCTTTTTATGTGGATAAAATAAGTTTTTCTGCAGTCCCCGTCCACAGCAGTGCATTGCTCTGCTTCCCTGCCGGGATCCCTGCCTGCTTCTCCAAACCAGGGGCGCACCAACTGCCGTCTACTGCATGTAATAATGAAAGTGAGAAACGAAATCTTGGGGCTATAGCAGAGTATGTTAGGCATCCTATCCAACAGCACCCATCCCCTACTCTCTGAATTTCAGATTTTGCCCTCTGGCTCTCAGTTCAGATTACCCAGTTAAGACCAACAGGTACCAGCTCTCTTTCACCCCATCAGCCATTTCTCATTTCTCTGCAGGCCCAAAGGAAGAGTTAGGGGCCCATGATGGAACTATGTGATGGGCCATCACATAGAGAAGCACTGCTAGAAACACGTCTCTCGTAAAACAATCTCCTATTGCTTGTGCTGCACGTCGCAGGTTTTTAAAGAAGCATAAAATTGCAAGGTTCAGAGTCGCACCACTTGTCAAGAGTCCAGACACATCTTACACACAACACAAAGGGCCTTACTCGTGGTATTATTTGTATTGACTTGCTCAAGTAAATATTCACCCTTTAATCTGGCTTACTACAGTGATATGAGCCCAAAATAAACCAATTGCTATGATTTAATTGCAATAAACAGATCACAATGATGCTGAAATAACTCATCTGAAATCATCGATTTGTAAAACGTCTGAATTCATACTATGTCGGGTCTATCTGCAAGATGATGGGCAAACAACTTTTAAAATGCTTGTTTTCTGAACTGAGTTCAGATTGATCAGGGCTATGCTAGCAGCTGTCTGTGGGGAAGCAACAGTTGAATTTTTCGGTCAAAGTTTAATATTTTCAACTTGAGCAAACACGCAGATGGGAATTACACCTGTAGAGACACCTATTCGCCCCCCAAATAAAGTGGAAAGTTGAAGTAACTATGGATGTACCTTATACAACGCCACTTCAAAATACCCAAGCTATCCCTTTAATCCTATCCTTTAAGATACATTCATACTTTTCCTACAATCCACAGTCATACTGTACCCTGCTTTACCTTCTAATAACATAAACACAGCAGTCTCATCATCTGCATCATCACATTTAAAGCACAAGAACCACAGTTTAACCAAAACCACTCAGTTCTGCTCATATCAGCATTGGACCACTTCAGTATAACTAAAAGGATTCTTGGTCCCATTGCACTGCCTAATGCAGTAACTGTTCACCACTGACCACAGCTCAGCATCAGCTCTGGCCTCTGTATGCTGGAACCAATGACCTAAACAGACCTTCTGCTCTAAACTGCCGCTGTGGTAACATTTTCATCAGCAGCACTGTTGGTGCTGGCTGGCGTGCCCGTGGAGGTCCCGTTGACCGGTGTGTGTGGGGTGACTTTTGCCAGTCGGTGCTCCTTGCCGTGGGTGCAGCCGTGGGCACAGAGCTGGCAGGAGGCGCAGGCTGAGTTGCAGCAGGGTAAGAAGCGGCAGATGCTGACGCGCCACAGGAACCAGCCAGGTGACCAGCAGCACCAGCAGAGAACCACACTGCCTGCCACCACACCCAGCAGGATGTAGAGAACCAACAGGGACAGTGAGGCTGGGGAGTCTGAGGATAAGAAGGGCAAAATACAATTCTCTTTATTCACATGGCACACATACTTGATTTAAGTTATAATACAGGTTATAATACTTTTTCCTCTTGGAATCGGATTCACTAACTAAACTACTCCCTTCACTACTTTTTAGGTTTTTAACTCTTCAGCCTGCACACTGCCACGACAAGCTGTCAGGACCTCCTCCCTGGCTCTTGTCTTACTCTGGCTTCCTCTCTGCTTTGCCTTCCTGCTGTCTCATATTTTTTAACATCAATCTAAAAATGTTCAGGCCAGTTCAAAAAGGAATTGTCCTGATGAAAATCAGAAACTTAGGTTCTGTTTACACAATTGATTGAATTGTTTATATAGTGGACACAGCTTCCAGGTATGTGAAGCCAAGCCAATGTAGAAGTTTCTTAAATCTGCATTCTTTCTGTGACCAGCAGGGGATCTCCATGGGCTGTAAAAAAAAAGTCAGACAGTATTGAGTTTTATGGAGAAATTACCCTACTTAACTAGATTTATTAGCTCAGTAAACAGTTTCCTAATGAGTTTATGGTCTCAATCTCTAGTTTCAGTCTTCTTCCATACAGCATGATGTTCATTTAGTAAATGATGGTCCCATTTAGAGTAAATTGGAAAATAAAGCAGAGTACATCTTAGCCAATTAGAGCAGCTCAGCTCATAGTACGTTAACATGGCAATGACCATAATACCAAATTCGAGGCTTTGAAATCAATGCCACTGCTAAAATTTACTTTGGAGGAAATTCAATAACTGCTGCTTGTTTGCAGTCACTGCCCTGTCCACAGAAGTACTCGCAAGCTGTTTTTTCTTCAGTTTTTTGTCAATTTCTGGCACTCGATAAAAGCTCTACATGGTTTGACTGATATGACCGTAAACAGCAAAAAACTTGTAGAGATTGTGATAGTGCTTCCAATGTAGAAAATCACGTCCTGCCCTCCATTCAGCAATTTGTGCAACAGGCAGGGACATTTCCAGACATTTTTGACTGTGGCGGAACAAGTGGGGCACTGAATTATCCACTTTCCATTCATTCTCATTTTATGCCATTCCAATACTGTTGGACCCCAGTATGCAGAAATATTCAAATACAAAAATGGCAAAATGAACATATTTATACCACATGAAAAAAACTGTATGTCTGTCTGTAAAGGGGGACTTGTGGGTTCCCATAAAACCCATTTTCATTCCGATATCTTGAGATCACAGGTCAAGGGACTACTTTAAAAATGGCCATGCCATGCCATATTTTTCCATTGCGTTAGTATTCCATTGGTGCGTTATCTAACTCCCTTCACAACATGCTAGTATAGCACCAATGGGTGAGTTAGATCATCTAGTTTCATATGATACCAGTATGTCCATACTAGCTTTAAAACACCGCCTGCTACAGCCTCTGAAAGACAGTGCGGAGTGGAAGAGGTAAGGATAATGGGGTGGCACTTGGGGTGCACAATCAATTTAAGGAGTGGCCAGCACCACCCAAGGACCCCCTGAGTAAATGCCCCTGGCCACAGAAACAGGCCCTTGAATTTAGCTGCAAACGGTCACTGTTACAAATCTTGTGTGACTAGATCAGGAGATGTCAAGATAATGAACATCAGGAACTTATTCTAGAACTGCAGTAACTATAGACAGAGAGCCTACAAACAACTACAATCCAGCATTTTGAAAAAGTTGAAAAACAACTCGCTATGCTATTTTACCTAGAGTCAGAAAAACATCAATATCAATTTAATCTCAATTTAATGTTGACTGATAGGTCAAAGTTAAAAGTTAACAAACTCCTCTGGCATATCCAAAGCTGCCTAATCGCCTTGACACTGGTCTTGAACAGTCTCTGTAGAGGCTGGCTCTAACAGTCATTTAAGCTACTTACTGTGCAATAAATTAAGAGTACACATTGCTATGCCTGAAGCCTGCTAACTGTTTAGATTTCCAGTGTTTACACTCTTAGAAAATAAGATGAATTCAACCGACGAATCAGGCTGTCTGTGGTTCCTCCGGTGGGCAGGCCAGGGCACAGTGAAATGGATCTCAGCTAATAAACAGCTGGCAATTTGCACAGCAGGCAAATGTGAATCCCCTTCTCCTACTGTCAGCTGAACAGTCAGAACAGAAGAATAGCTGTTTTCTTAGGGCAGACTTGGCCGGCTCTTAAAAGCAATCAAATGCTGACAGGTTGCCCCAGACAGTCTCTGTTTGCACCTCTGACGCTGGAATAGAGACGGATCACTCAAAAGGCCGCTCTCTGCCATGAGAATCCATCACCATTTATTGGTTTACGAGTCTTTAGGTGAAATTAACAACTCAATGGTCACCTCTATTAGTTTTATGACCAGTCATCAGGACACTTTGCATCCAAATGGGTCCTTAGTTTATTTGCTACCCACTGCAGGACAGAAACTTAGCGTATTACACAGTGATTGATTGATTCCTGCCAGTGGGGAATGTTTCTACCAATTGAAAGAGGAAATATCTATTATGTCCCACTGGTCACTCACCTGTTACTGACTCGTGACTGGGAGCACTGTCCGGCACGCCGCAGTTCATATGTGAAGGCATCGGCACTGTGGGTGGATTCACATAAGGTGGGGGTGGGGTTGCTATTGCCGGTGGAGGTTCAGGAGGTAACAGCTGACCTGCTGATGAAGGACAAATCTGGGTCAACTATCAAGTGACAGAAAAGACATGGACATTTTGTTATACTATAAAGGCATCCCCCTTCAAACTGGTGGCTTAAAGTTTCTACATCACACTCTAAAAGTTACATACTGGACCAGGACTGACTTCCAAAC